TCATGCTGGCCCTCCAACGTTCTCCTGTATCTATCCCCGTTCAGCTCAATAGCTTCTTGTTCATTAATCCGCCCCATCAGTCACACTCCTGAGTCGTCAACTCAACTGCAAAGGTCTGTTAGCTGAGCCCAGATTGGGTTTTTAATTCTTTGCTTCTACTTCTGGGCAGGTAAGAACTGCCCTGGTCTACCCTCATGGGGGCTGTGTGGAGGAAACAGAGCAACTTTCCCTCTTCTTCCCTCTCCCGTCTGAGCTCACCATGGTCAGCCCGGTAGATCCACATTTGTTCTCTGGGCCTCCTGAGCACCAAGCGAGGCTGAGAGGTGACTATCAATGCTGTAGGTACACTGGACAGCTTATGCCATTCTGCAGCTCAACAGGAGGCCACCTTGTCACTCCCTGACTCCTTCCTGTGTCAGACTCCCCTGAAGTCCAAATTGGGAGCAGAGCCTTGCAGGTAAAGCTTGGGGGGGGGGCCCTGGCTCCGAGGCGAGGAGTTCAGCGGGGAGGAGGCTGAGGCCCACTGGGAAGAGTTAGCACTGGAAAGGATTGATCTGAGTGAGAAGTTAATGGAGCAGATCACTGCTGGGCCCCCTCAGCTGTGATGACCCACAGACTTCATTGCTGCCTGAGTTGAGGAAAAAACAGGAGACAGAACGAGTTGAGGCCAGTGGCTCTTGACCCAGTTTCAGCTCCCCCGAGGGTGGGTCTTGGGTGCCTGGGTGATCTTGGGAGATCTGGGACAGGGACACTCAGTAAGCAGAGCCCTGGGGTAAAGACAGGAAAACAGGCAGCTCTGACACTTGTTCTAACCCGAAGAAGCGCTCTGTCGTCTTCCCTCTAGAAAACAAACCAGTTTACCTTTTTTTTTCTCTAAATAAACTTAATTTTTTTGCAATAATTTCAGATTTATAGAAAAGACGTGAAGATAGCACAGAGAGTTCCCATCAGCCCCTCACCAGGTTTCCCTATGATTAACATCTCCCTTGAGTCTGGCACCTTTGCCGTTGATGAGCTGGTGCCACAGCCCCAGGCCCCGAGGGAAGTCAGGGAGGAGAGGGGACTGCCGCCCTGCTGGGAGCAGCAGGAAGACTCAAGGCCCTGGTGAGCTGGGGGTGCAGGGGACAGAGGAGGCTCGGTGGACCCGTCCCCAGGGGTCCCTCCGATCTCCTGCCCTCACTTGTGACCTCCCACCACCAGGCCGACTCCTCATCTAACCCTGCCTGGTCATGCTCAGCAGCCCGCATGCATCAGTCCCCCTGCCCTTACATCACTCTCTTGCTCTTGCTGGCGCACGCAGCCCTCTCTGAGCAGCCTGCTGGGCCCGGGAAGCCTGGCAAAAGGTTTCCCTTCCAGGTGCCGGGTTGTGGGATCCTTGGGGAGATTTCCCTTTGTTCCGTCCCCGGCTGTCCAAACCCTTCCTTTCCTGGCCCGTGTGCTCCCTCTGCAGTGTCCCCATCTCTCCCTTCACTGATTACCTCTGGGCTTGTTCGCCTGTCCCCCCTGCAGAAAGCAGTGTGCCTCTCCCCAAGGTCAACCCCCTGGGTGGTTGTCATCTCCCAAATCCCTCAGTGCTCCAGTCGTCTCCCAGATGTAACCGAGGGGGGCAGCTGCCAACGTTGGCCACTGGACTGGAGAAGTTGGTGTGGCCACCCTTCCCTCATGTGGCTCCTTGGCCAATATCCTTGCTGCTTCCTCACCAGAGGAACGACCCTGGAGGGGCAGACGTTATCATTCCCGGGAGAGAGGCACGGAGGTCAACACCTTGACTCCAGTCCCCCGGACATGCGTTCATGGCCCCTTACCTCGTGCCTCCAAGACCTTAGGACTTGTGCAATCTTGTATTTCACTTGTGTGTTTACTTGATTTCTATCGATCTTTCCCTCCAAGTAAGATGCTTTGGCCCCCACCGTATCCCCAGTGCCTTGCCTCACTGCCTGGTACACAGTAGATGCTCAATAAATGTTTTTAAATTATTGAATGGACGAGTTAGAGGAAGAACATTCGTTCCTTCCTTCAACAGTAGGTTGTCAGGCCCTTTGATGGTTCCTGGGGATAAAAGATGAATAAGATACAGTCCCCACCCTAGAAGTAATCAGTAAATGAAAGACGTACAGTACAATACACACCACGCCATAATGGCAGACTGTCCCAAGTGCTGGGGGAGAACAGAGGTTATAAACCCTCCCCGGAAGATCAGGAAGGCTCCAGGGAGGAGAGGACTTGAGGGATAAGTGTCAGTGAGTCTCCTGGAGCGGTGCCCATGGGCAGGGGGCTGGGGGAAGGGCATCCCTAAGCCAACAGGCCACAGTGAGACCTGCGGGGACCTGACATGCTCAGGGAAGCCCTAGGGGAGTGTGCGTGGGCAGGACTTGAAGCCAGGCTCTTGGATCTGTCCCTTCACTGCATAAAAGTTGGAGATTTCCCACATGTGCCCTCCAGGCTCTGGGTCCAGAAGGATTATACCGGCTCCCAATGCAGGGTGCGGGGACTGCTTGACCACCTGTCACTCTCCTTTGATGATGGCCTGCCAGAAAAATCTCTTCTGAGAAGGAGTTCCCCATCTGAGGCAATTTGAAACAATCTTATGAGATTTCTTGAGCCCAAAGCTCAAATATAACCTATCTGGCCTGCTCCCTCCCTCTCTTCTTGTAATTCCGTCCAACACGTCGTGGAGCTGGTGGGTCGCAGCCCTCTGCAGGCAATTTCTTGCAGTCCTGCCCCACGCTTTCTCTCATTTACGTGCCTTCTCTTTAGCATAGGTCTGTTTGACTTTCAGTTCCAGATGCCACTGCCTGTCCCATTTGTTGTTGTTGTCTTTGACTTGTAGGCAAGATTTTAGAGGGCACACGTGTACACAAAAGGAGGGAGTCAGGACTCTTGGGGGCCGAGGGGGGATAGGGTGTGAAGGAAATAGGGTTGTTAGTAAGTTAAGTACCAGAGGGAAAGGTTAATAATCCGTTGTGTGGGGAGCAGGAGGGCATTGTAGGTAATAACTTAGGGGCTCAATGGCTGGGATAATTCTGTTGTGTCTACAATGGAGGAGGGTCTCATATCACAGGACAAATGTCATTGGAAGGTGGTGTCAGCTCAGTGGAGAAAGGCAGGCCCCTATGCCTTTACAGCTGGAGTCATTTCAAAAGAGGAATCTGGTAATTTTGACTTAAAAATGTCTTCATGGATTTACTTTTTATGCTACCCACACACAAGCCATCCTCACCCATGGAGGCTTCTTGGATCCCTCCCCTGATGTTATTACATCAATTTTATTCTTACTTGTATCTTTACAGAAAATGGCACAGAAATCACAGGTTTAGAATACCTAGAAGTTATTACAGTTCCATATTTCAAACACCTCAATACCAAGTTTCTTTCTTCCCACTCTATGTACAGTATTTACACACTGGGGGCTACAGTCTCTAACACTTCAAACCAACAGGGGACAAAGACAAGGAGAAGAGGGGGGGTTCCATGAACAGAATGAGGAAGAAATCAACTTTTGATGTGGAATTAAAATCCAAACTCACTGTCTCCGGCCTTTCTCTTGCGAGGTATTCCCTGCAAACGTGAGTGGGATGGTGGAGGGAAATGTCAAGGGCGTGAGGGAGCCATAGGCCTGGCCTTGGGGTGGAGGGGGCCGCTGCAGAGAGGCCATCCGTGTGGGCGGCTCCTCCCATCAGCAAACAGGAAGAAGCTCCCAGTCCCCTATCCCTACACGGTCACTGCGTCCATCCTATTCTCGTGGACAGACGCCACGGCATACACCTGGCGGGGCCGTGTGCCTGTTGCTCATTTTGAGTCTAACCCTGGCTCCCGCCTTTTGCTCTCCTCCGAGCCCTTTCTTGTACCCTTCTTGTGACCACTCCTTGATGCCTAGAATAGCCCCAGGCCAGTTCCAGGCTTGGCCTCCCAGGGATGGCCCGGGTCAAGTCGAGCCAAGATCTGTGGCTTCCTATGTGTTCATTTTGTAGTTGGATTGGGTTGCTCCAAGGCAGGACACATGCGCACCGATAAACTGCAAGAAGCTCTAGAAGGGTGTCTTGCATGGCAAGTCAGGGTCACAGGTAGCCTATCGGGGTGGTCAGGATGCTTCAGAATGCAGGCCCAAGGGCTCTGGGTAAGAGTCTGGCCTCCCCACCAGTGCCCTGACCACAGCATTTGTGACAGGGGCCCGCTGGCTGCAGGGCACGGGCCCTGGACTCTACAGGTACTGTCCGTGGCCACGTGTGGTGCTGGCAGCCATGCTGTGGGGAATGGTGGGGCAGGCTGGGGGTGGAGAGGGCGGGCAGGCTCCCGAGGGTGACTGCAGAGGGCGTGATATGGAGGGGGGCTGAGGGGCTCAGGATGACACCTTCCAAGTTTCATCTGGAATCTGGGCCCCATCGAAGGGGTGGGGCAGAGGCTGGGCCTGAGCCTGTAGGGCAGTATAGCCAAACTCTGGAGGCCCAGGCCCAGGCCCTCAGGAAGGAACAGGCCGGGGAGCACAGTTTTGCTGAGGACTGGGGGCCTCAGGACGTCGGTACTAGAGTGCAGGTGCTCAGTCCCTGACACTGTTGTGGCAGGCAATGAGTTGGCAGCAGTGGGCTTTGGGCCCGGGCAGAGCAGAATCCACAGGGGGCATAGAGCTGGGGAGGGGAGGCTTTTTCAAGCAAGAGAACAGAGAGTGAGGGGTGGATCTGGGCAGTGAGAGTCGCCAAGGAATTGAATGAAAGTGGCTTGAGGGGGTGGTTTGGGCAGCAAGAAGGCTTCTGAGGCAGGGCTGCTGGGATGAGGAAGACGCTGGAGAGGTGAAGACTAGATAGGGGGTGCCTCGGCATGGCCCAAAGCCTCGGCCAGAACTGAGTTGTGCCTGAAGTCAGCCCAGGGGTCATGGGGGGGCCTGTGGGGCAGGGGGAGGGTGGCCGAGGCCAGGCCTGAGACCTGCCTCAGAGAACACCTCCCAACACCACAGACCCCGGGGACAGCAGAGTCCTGGGGCTCGGTGTCCGCGAGCCCTTGATCTAAGCCATATCCTCAAGCTGTGGTGGACTCAGCTTCTCCGCGGGCCTGTCTTCGTCCATGGCCTCCTCCTCCTCTGGCTCCTCGGCATTCCGGGCCAGGCTGTCGGGCCCAGACACAGTCCCCAGCACTTTGGTGCTGTGCTCCTGAGCTCTGGCTCGGAGCGCCGCAATGCTGTTCTCTCTCAGTTCCTCCTGGGACATGGCCGCTGGAGGGTCGGGGCCCCGCTCCTCCTGCTCCATCTTGTCGAGTCTGGGCGGGGCCTGGCGCTCCACCTCGGGCTTCCTCCCCGACTCCGCTGCTGCCTCCAGCGACTTTTTGTGCATCCCTAAAAAGAATTGTTGGTATTCGGGTTTAGAAAAGCGCCTGGGAAAGCCATCTTGAACTGAAAACGGCAAAGATAGAGAGAGGCCAGAATTAAGGACGAGCAGAAAGCCTTACTTCACACACCGCAGTCACGCGAGTCCCAGGGGCCAGGGCCGGGGCAGCGGGAGGGTGGCCAGGGGATGGGGCTGCAGGCCAGCAGCTGGGCACCAGGCCTGCAGAGGGCTTCTTCGAGTCAGGTCCCTGGGCACCTGGCCGCCGGGCAGCCTGTTCTGTCCCTTCCCAAGCCTACTTGCCCCCCATCCCTCCCTCCTGGGATTCAGATCTTGGAACCCCAAGATGAGCTGGTGCTGCAACCGACCTAGGCCCCGAGGGCAGGTGGGGGGAAGATGGCATGTGGAGAGATTTCAGGGGGAAGCAGTCCTTTGGGCAAAGCCAGAATGGTGGCCAGAGGGTCCTAGGGGGTCCCCTCAACCCCCAGGAGGAGCTGTTTCATTCACCACAAGCCCACCTAGGGCCAAGGGAAGAAGAGGGTACGGACCCTGGGGCTACAGCCACACCCTTCCCACAGGACAAAAGAACCCACAGTCAGGGCCCTGGCGGATGAGAGTCCGAATCACCCAGCAGGGGGGCGCAGGGGACAGACAGCAAGCCCTGGGCCCAGCCTACCCTCTGAGGCTCCTAAGGGAGACTAGGAGGCCTACACTGGAGTGCCTCTGTCCTGCGAGGCTGTTGTGGCCAGGTGTCCCTGCCCCAGGGTTCTGTCTCCTTCTCCTCCAGGGAGCCCGCTCTCCTCACCGCAGGGGCAGGGCCCCAAGGAGGGTGCGGGCTCTTACCCAGCAGCCACGGGGCACAGGAGTCCATGATGCCGTCCTTGGCGGACTTGAGGATGGACTCTGGCAGGGGGATAGAGTGCCGCACCATGGCCCCGTAGAGCCCGTACTCTGCCATGACGCTGCTCCGGCCCCAGCACTTCTCCCGTTTCCTCCACTTAGCCCGGCGGTTCTGGAACCAGACCTGCAAATGAGGATGAACAGGGCAGGGGTATGTTCTGAGAGGCACTGAGGCCAGGCCCTTACCCCAGGGGGCCCCCTGTGAAGGTCCCCACCCTTTTGATTGCTGGCTGCTGCATCCTCTTGTGACTGCTCCTTTCTCCAGCAGGGTGCCCTCACTTAAGCTCCCCCACCCCATGGTACCCCCCCCCCCCCGGTTCCTCTAGGCTCCGAGTGCCCAGAAGGCGGTCACCCAGTCCTGTAAGAACATGATGGGTGAAATGGATCCTTTTTTTTTCTTTTTCTTTTTTAATTCAAAGCAGTTCTAGGGTGATGGGATAGAGGCCTCCGGGATAGGGTCTTGCAGGTGGGCAGTTCCCAGCATGGTCCTCGGTTTGCAGCTGAGAAGCCCCACCCTGGTAGCTCTCTTGCAGGTGGTCACACCTCCAGCCTATAAACAGAATCTCCTTTCTGACTTGCAGAGGAACACATTCCTTCCAGGGGCTGGACTAGCCATGCATCTTGTCTGGGGCTCCCTCTCTACCAGAACTCCAGAGGCCGAGCAGTCCCAGAAGCCAGGTGAGTGTGAACTCAGGCAGCAAAGGGCATGGCATTCAGGTATCAGGAAGCCCCAAGGGACACTCCGGGGAGGCCTGAGTCAGCCTCCTTTCTCAGCCCCGTCCTGGCGAAGCCCTGTTTTGCCAAAGTGCCCTCCATTCACCAGCTCCCCACAGTTTTGGACCTAACCCTGAGTGCGATTCAGAGGAGCTGGGCATCCATCCTCAGGCAAGGAAGACAAAATTCTCTTGGTGTGCCGAGAGAGGGAGATGGAGACCTAGGAGGGTGCAGTGGGGGACACCCTGGAGAATGTTTCTCTGGCCCCAAAGCTGACTGGTGCAGGGCACGGGGTACCCTGGGGGTGTCAGCAGCGCTCCAGCCCCGTGCTTGGAGCAGTCCCTGCCATGCTTGGGGGGAGGGAGATTTCTCGGGCTCCCAAAGCAGCTTTCCTGAGGCTTCGGGCAGCTGGCAGGAGCCAGCGCTAGGGACAGCTGCACTGTCCCTCAGGCAGGTGAAAGGCCGGCGAGAAACCGGTGAGCTCTGGAAGGATCCCAGGCCCGACCAGCGGCCGCCTCCCGTCCCCTCGCAGCCCCTCTGGGCCCTGAGCCCCGCGGATGGCGAGACGCCCAAGGCGCCCCGGGAAGTGGGGAGGGGGGATGAGGGGGAGGACGGAGGCGGGTTCGAGGAAAATCTATTAGTTTCCTCTGTGATTTCCATTCCCTCGCCTCGGCCGGGTCCCCCGCCCCCTTCCCTCCGGGCCCCTCCCCCGCCCCCAGAGGCGGAGGTTTCAGCTTTTGATGAAAAATTGCTCCAGCTCTATTCAGGAGGCGGCAAAAGAAGAGTCACCCCCAGGGGCAGCCCTGGGCTGATTGAAAAATAAGTTAATTTCTGTTTGAATCGATGGGCCTCAGGCACTGAAATATCACGGGAAATTAAAGCGGCTGCTCTCTCGGGAGCCGCGGCATTGACCCGCACTAATTAATGCTGGGGAGGCAGCACGAGCCGCGCCGCGAGCCGCTCCCCCTCCCCGGGGGACCCCAAACACATCTCATTTAACTAATTAGACGGGGAAAATTGGGTGTTAATTTGTTTAGGATTTTTTTCCCCTCTTCCCCCCGGCAGCTCCCTCCCCGGCCCCCACCCCGCGCGGGGGCGCGGGAAATGAATGCGGGGCTCGCCGGCAGATGGCTGCCCGGGTCACTCTGCAATCTTCTCCGACTTGATTGCTTGATTAGGTCGTTAGCACATTAAAAAAAAAAATTGCTTGCCGTCTGGCGCTGGCGTGATGAGTGGGACGCGCGGCAGCGCCTGGGTAATTTATCTTTTTATACGGCAAAGAATTTGATTTCAATCTGCAGATATATGGGGCGCCTTTGACACCTGTTTAACATCGCGCCGCTGACAGTTTAACCCTTTGCCGCCTCCGCTGCCGGGAGGCCCGGGCAGGGGTTCGGATCCGCGCGCCCCCGCCGTTCCCGTCGCCGCCGCTATGTGGCGCAGGGAGAGCCCCGGCGGCCCCAAGCAGCCCTGAGTCTGCGGCTGAGCGCGGCCGGATGCCTCCAGCAGGGGGCGCCCCGGCAGCCCCGCCTCGCCTCCCGACGACCCTCAAAGAGCCCCGCGCTGTGCGGGGCTGCGGAAAGACCGCGCGGTCCACGCACACCTTTAAATGGACAGAAATGTGTGTAACCCTGTCGTGAAGTTTCTCCGTTTGTGAATAACCAGGAACCCACAAAAATGGGAGAGACGCGGCCCAAGACTCCCCGGGCCTCTCCACGCCCAATAGAAAACGATCGCTCAGTCCACCCTGGGTGGCGCCGCCTGCAGCGATCTGCACCTTTGCCACCACCGGGTTTGGCACCCGCCGTTCCTGGTCGGGCCCTCCTGGAGAGCTGCGGAGCCCTTCTGCAGGGCCTTTCCCCTCGTCCGGACCCAGACCGCCACGGGTGACCCCTGCTGAGGAAAGGGTTTCTGCAATTTGAGAGCCACTAGATGGGTACGCTTCGTGGGCTACAGAGCGGAGACGGTGAGCAATGCGAGCCCGGGCTAACTCGCCCGTCGTCCCGGCCTGCCTCCGCGCTGTGTTTAGATCCCTCCCCAGCGCCACCTGTCTGTCCCTCAAGGCTTTCCGCCCGACTGTCTGCCAGACCCAGTGCCTGCGGTTTGTCTGAGACCTCGTCTGTCCCATCTTCCTTCCCGGTAGCACTTGGTGGCCCTCTCTAAGTACCCACTTGTCACAAGCTGCCTTCTCCCATAGAGGAAAAATCTGAAAGGACTGAGCCACATAAAATGTGACTTCTGGTTTCATCCACCTCTCAGAGAATACAGAAGAATGAAGCCCTTGGTGATGGAATTCCAGGCACCAAGTGTGACCACAGAGGGTTGGGAAGGCTTTCTTTATGAATCTAAGACATCTGCTTCCTAGTCAGGAGGTGACCTTCCTGCTTGAAAGCAGTGCATTATAAAACAGCAAGACCACAGCCCCTTAACTGGAACCCATGGGGCCAGACTCCACAATGTTTGGGATTTTAGAAAGAAGAGGTGATGCATATACCACATTAGATGACACTCGGCTGCAGCGGCCCACCATAGCCAAACTCACTTGTTTTGATTTCTGCAGCAAAACATATGCATATGCACACTAAAAGGGATAAATAAAGAGCATAAATTCAGGTCTGGGTTTTGCCATTAGTGAGTTCTGATGACTCAGGAAAGAACTGTGTTTTCGGCAGGGTTTGGATTTATGGACTCTGGACAACGGGATTGGGGAGTATACAAAGGCAGAGATGCCCCACCCACCCCAGTGTGGATGCCTGGGAGGATGCACTGTCCTGGCTTCCTCTGGATTCCATGAGCATTGGTGCTTGGGTGGTGGGGGGGAGCATGGCTCTCACATGGAAACCGCATCTTTACTGGAACACTAAAGAAGGGGGTGCAGACTTGGGATTCAGATGCTCTCTGGGGCCTATAAACAGAACTATTTTCCGGGGTCTCCTAATTTGGGCAAATGAATAACTGGTCTGCAGACCAGACTTTGCCCACAGACGTTCCCGGGAGAGCTAGTGCAGCTGCTCGTTCAAACCAGGAGTCATGCGGACCCTCGGTTATGGGTTCCTGGAACGCCTGGCTCTCTGCGAAGACCAGATGCTGCTCCAATTTATGGAGGGGACCTGGACAGCCAAAACAATTTCTTTTTAGGATAGTTGGCAGGGGAGCTGTGGCTGAATGCCTTGGAGGGAAGTGGACAAGGGATCAGCATTGAGCCTAACCACTCCTCATGTCTGCCTTTCTCTTCCCTTCTGGAAGCAACCAGTACGTGTGCAGGACTCAATGGTTCCAAGAAGTGCTGAAGTCAGACGGTCCTGAGCTGGAATTCCCAGCTGCGACAAAAATTGCTGTGTGATCTTGGGCAAGTGACTTGCCCTCTCTCAGTCTCAGTCTCTTCAAACCTAAGATAATGCCTATTTTTCAGGGCTGTTTTGAGGATTAATGCAATAAGTGAAAGTTTCTAAAACCCATGCTTATCACATAGAAGGTGTTCAAAAAATGCTACTTATTATTCTTTCAGTGGAGGCAAAGAAAACCAGTGGGAGCCTGCACAGAGGGCAGGTGAATCAACAGCTTTACCTGTCCCTCTGGCCTCCCCCGCGGGCCCTTTAGTAAGGCTGGACTGACAAATAATAATAACCCCAGGAGAGGGGCAGAGGGACAGAGCTAAACTTCAAGCTGCACGATTTTAATACAGCTAGCCTCTGTTTCCCCTTTAGGCATCCAGCGGGCCAAACGGAGACCCCTGCTACTATCAGCACACTTCTAATGTATTCCAGGCCCTTGAGGCTCAAATGCGAGAGAACACACATGAAGTGCCCAACACTCCCTGCAAGGTGGCTGTGATCAGGGGCTAGAAGGCCTCGGCTGGAGATCCGTGCCCTGCCTCCCACCATCTTGGTGATCTTGGGCCCGTTCCTTAACCTTTCGAGCTTCTGGTTCCTCATCTCTCCTGTCATATCACCTCCTTGAAGGTTTGTTATAAAAATTAACTCTAATAGTGCGTGGGAAATGCCTGGCACATAATAGGAACTAAAAGACCCTGGCCTGCTGCCGGATGAATTGTGTGGATAAACGTGCAACAAATGAGGCTTTGCTTTCCAGCAAATGCTCAACGACATTTTTTACATAAAGCCAGGTCCTCCCATCTCCTGCCTTTGAGAGTCCTTCGAAGCATTCAGGCCCTTTTCCCGACTTGGCCTCTTGGTTCTGGCAAGTCCCAAATATTCCTTTAGTCCCTCGCTCCTTCCTTTTCCTGGCTGCCCACTTTCTGGAGGAGACTGCCCCTCTCACGCGACAGTCAGGCCTGGAACTCCTCAGTAGAACCTGTGTCAAGGCGGCAGTGAGGACCAGAGCCCTGCCTTACACTTCAGGGCTCTGAGTGCCTGAGAGGGGGCCCAAAGTGACACCAAGGGTCACCAGGTTTGGCACTCCAGGTACGATCTTCCAGCTTGGGGAAGAGTCTGGGTTCCTGCATTTCCCCTCAGAGGTGGCGCCCTAGCAGCACTCCGAAAGCCCAGTGGGATGCCTCTGGAGGTCCACAGCTGGTCTGGCAGGAGCCTCCACCACTGGCAGTGAGGGTCCCAAGAGAGTGTGCCTCCAAGGACAGACTGGACCTGGGGAGGGGTCCTTGCCAAACAGGTGCTCTCCTGCTACAGTGCGCACTTGGAGCACAGCGGACAACCCTACCAGCAACTTCTCTCATGGTGTGGATAGAGCAGCTATGGTTGTGCCCATGGCCTCTCTTGTCATCACCCAGCTCCTGTCCCGCAAGCTCCCATCCTGGCATCTCCACAGGACACAATACCCAGGGCTCCTTCTCTCAAAGGTCTCCCAGGAAACCCTCTGTGGTCTTCCCAGGATCGCCCCCCTCAAGGAGACATTTTGTACAATGGATGCTCTTTGCACATTCCGGTTGCTTGGCTCCCCAGGCCCTGCCTTCCGATCTTGCCTCCCGCCATCAGGCCTGGCTCTGTCAGCCATGTGGCAGGTCCCATCACATTCACCCAGCTTCCTTCCTCTCCTCGGGCTGGAAGCTGATTAATTTGAGCTCATCGCGGCAGTGATTTAAGGACTTAACCGTCCACATGCGCTCAGCATTCCTGACACCATATTTCAGCATCTCCCCCTTACTGTCCCAGCTTCAGGCTCAGAGGAGCTGGGCCCTGCTGCAGCCTCTGACGTCCAGTAGGGGGCAGCTTTGCCCACATTTCCCAGCAGCCCAGGCAGCATCCTTCCCTGCACACCTGACAAGTCACCTTGTCCCTCATCCTACCCTGTCCCCCGCAAACTCCACCTCCTTCCACTCATATGAATGCACATAAAATGCAGACACTCCTTTCCAGAGCCTCTGACCCAGCGTTTTTACACTGGCTTCCCACAATCACTGGAGAGCTTTAAAAACATACAGATGCCAAAGGCTCTGCACCAAAGCAATTAAATCAGAATGGCTGGGCATGGGGGCCCCGCATGGGTGTTTTCAAAAGCTGCCCTGTGATGCTAATAAATGCCCCAGGCTGAGACAGACTGCATATCTTCTAACTTCTGGAATAGAATCTCTTCAAACTTCCTTCCCTATCCCTGGACAGGGATCCCTTTAAAAGAGGCAGACTTGAACAGCACTAGTCAGAGTAGCCAGACCATGAACTTAGATACAAGAATTTGCCCACTCAAAAAATAATTTTTTATGAGTGAGTTTTTGAGGTCTTTTCTTCAGAACAATGCCCAGTACTCAATAAGTATTGCTTATTTTTATAAAGAAGGTTGATACTAGTCCCCACCTGACCTCCAACCATCTCTGGTCCCCCCAGCTTCAAGTCAAAACACAGGCTTCAAACTCAAGAGGCAGGTGGTGAACGTGTGGGCTTTTGATGCAGACCTGGGTTAGAGCCCTGTGTCCCCCACCTCCTAGCTGTGTGGCCTTGGGCCAGTTGCTGTGTTTCCGCTTCCTTGGTTGTCTCCAGGACTAAATGAGATCAGTGCTGAAGTTGAGTGAGCACGGAGCACCTGCCAGGCATCACTCAGAACAGACGACACGTGGCTCGTGGTATCTGCCCCCAGAGGCAGGGCTCACCATCACCCCCATTTTACAGATGAGGAATCAGGGTCTCTGCAGGCTGAAGTCACTTGTCCAGTCACTCAGCTGGGCACGGTGGAGCCAGGATGTGTCTGGCTCTGAAACAGCGTCCCTAACCACTATACCTACTTGCCTCTCCTGTGCATGCCGTGTTTTCAGAACACCAGGCACGTGGAAACTGCTCTGTAAATGATAGCTGTGATCCTCGCTGATGCATGCTGAGACTGCCCGGGCCACCTGGGGCAAGGCTATGTGACAGCTCACATACACCTTCTGGAGGCAGCTGTTAGCCAAAGAACCCTGTGGTGCTCAAAGACTCTGAGAGATTCTCGGCTCCCTTCTCCCAGATCTACAGTCCTTGCCGTCCCAAGGCAATCAACTTACTCCACATCCTAGCTCCTCCTTGCTGGTTCCTGTGGCTTCAGACACCACCCGACAGATGTCCCCCACCCCCAGGCAACTTAATGAAGCCTGGCATCTGCCTGCTGGGGCATCTGTGGCAATGCAGTAACAGCTGAGCCAGAGCCTTCCCCAGAATCCTTCATGCCCTCCCACCCACCGCCACCACGGCCGGACAGATTTTAGGACAGTCCACCGCAAGAGACAGCTCTTCCTTCCTACTGGTCCCAGTAGTGCCAGTGTGAGGCCTACCAGCAGGAGAGTTTTTCGGCCCTCCACCCCACCCCAGCCACTTGTAATAGCCAACTTTGTGCAAACGAAGGCCAGGTAGGGGTTACCCCTGCACATTGACTGGATTGGGCTTGGCTGACACACACACACACACACACACACACACACACACACACACGTGATTCAGAATCAACACCCCAGGCTTACCCCACTGGAACCAACTGGGTGGAGGGATGATGGATCCAGGCCACCACGGATAATGTACCAAACAGATAATCTGCTTATGAATAATTGAGCTTATTGTGTCAATGTCTAAAGCCACTGGCTGAAATTCCTAATAGATTTCCAAGGGAGAGGAAGACCCTTCTGGAAAAGTAACTCATGTCTCATTTCCAATTCTCTGGTTGTCCAGTGAGGGAAGCAACCCACAACTTATCTGGTTTCTTCTCCCCCCAACACATGTCCCACCTCCAAGGGCTCTTGACTGGCGGGGGGGGGGGGGGGGGTTTCAGGAAGTCGGGCCCCCTGCTTCCCTTTACTTTTTCCAGCCTTAGCAGTGAACTGCTCTGGACCATTCCACTGGTGGAAACAGCTTTCACTTAAGGATGTGATCCTGTTAAGGCAAACCCAAATCTTCTGGAAATGTTCCTCCTACCCAACTCGATTCTTCTGCTTCATGAAGGCCTTATCTAGAAAATCATCAGACTTCAGCTTCTCCCAGAGAAACCATTAAGCAGACCCACTCCTGCCTAGTGAGGGGGGTTCTGGCCTTGGAAAGGTCTTGTTGCCGATGAAAGGAAGCCCTGAGCCCAGCACAGCTGAGAACATCCCAGTCCAGACCAGGGGTCGGTTATGCCACAGAAGTCTCTAGGAGAGGGGCGGCGCCTGACTGACTCAGTCAGAGGAACATGCGACTCTTGACCTGGGGGTTGTAAGTTCAAGCCCCATGTTGAGTGTACAGATTACTTAAAAATAAAATCTTAAAACAAACAAACAAACAAAAAGCAACTCTGTATAGGAGGGGAGGAGGACTTACTGAGCCCCACTTGCAGGCAAGTGTCGCCAGCCACACCCCAGGCCAGACCGGAGCAGAAGCTCAGGGCAGGGCCAGCTGCCTGACTGTGGGAGGAAGGAGTTTCAGGAGGATGGAGGTTGTGGGGAGTAGACAGAAAGGGGGGGGTGACCTTTCCTTCATGGGTCAGGGGAGTGGAAGGAAGAGAGACAGAATGGGGTCAGGGCTAGAAGTCATCTTCCCCTTCTTTCCACCTCTGGCCTTGGAGCAGACATTTAGCTGTACCTAAGAGGTATCTGCCACAACAGAGACCTCCCTGAGAACCCATGACTCACCCAGAACTCCTTGTCCCCCCACGGGCCCCTTCACGGTCTGCCTGACCTACTCCTCAGGAAGCCTGTAGTCTGGAGCAGCAGGCCAGCCACACCCCCTAAGTCTCTTGTCCTGCCCGCCCCCCCCAGTGCCCAGCTCACGGGGTGGGTGTTCGGCAAATACCTGTCGGCTTAACCGAGCTGTTCTTCATAAGGACCCATAGCAGGGGGATGGGAGATGGGGTCACGGGTATCCAGGAGCCTGGGGCGGTCGATGCCTCAGAGGGTGTGGAACGAGAGAGAGGGACTCGGGGCTCTGTTACCTGTATCCTGTCCTCTGGCAGCTCCGTTTTCATGGCCAGCATCTCCCGGGCATAGACATCTGGGTAGTGGGCCTCATTGAATGCCTTCTCCAGCTCCTCTAGCTGGTAGGAAGTAAAGATTGTCCTAGCGGAGCAAAACCAGACACTCAGGACCCAGAAACTGAAAGAGACTGTTCCAGAGAGGACAGAATGACCCTCCTCTACACGTCCTAGACAGACCCCAAACCCACGGCTGGCTCAGCACAAACAGACCCGAACTCTCTCACACATACACACACACCACACACACACACTCACTCACGCTCACATGTGTTCACGCACACTCGTAGCTTAACCCTCTAGACTCGTCTTCATTCAAGGCTGAGGATCCACACTACCCTTCTTAGGAGGACATTATTTTAGACCTCAGTGACATTTCATACTGGGAATCTTTCTGGAAGTGATTTGGGGGAAAGGGTGTTGAGACAAAAATTTTAGAAAACTGCAGAAAGCCCTTCATCTTCCTCCCGAGACAGAGTGAGCGACTCACCAGATAAATAAATGCCTCAGGCCCACTGGGACCTGCTTCCCAGTTTCCTCTCACAGAAGTTGATCTTTTAAATGACACCCACGTTCAAAGACCTACCAGAAGGTCAAATGCAACTGCAACCCCAGTGTTTGAACGGCTGAGAATCGAATCTCCCACCTCCCCACGCACCCCAACACTTTGCCCTCTTCATTTGCCCTTCCCCTGCCACCACCCAGAGCTACGAGCTCCTTAGAGCTGCCCTCAGATCCCCCCTCCACCTCCTGTGCTCAGAAGACAAGGAGCACCTCCCAACCACCTCACACCGAGGCTCAGCCACTCATCAAGGGGGCGCCCCATTCAGGGGGGTTCCATTCAGGTCACTGTGAGAGAGCCTGCCTACACAGTCCCCACTCCCCACAGAGCAGTCTACATTGACCTATTTGGGTCCAAACCTGTTTTAAGAATCAGGTAAAAGCTACATCATTTTGCCCTAGGACAATGTGCAAATGAATATGCTCCAACACAAAATTTTACCTCCAGTATCAGGGGCATCACAGACCCCCTTTTCCCCATAAACCATACACACCCACTGACAGGCACCAATTCTTCTTTTTTTTTTTTTAAGTTTTTTTTTTTAAGATTTTATTTATTCATTCATGAGAGAGATAGAGGGGGGGAGAGAGAGAGAGAGAGAGAGAAGCAGAGGGAGAAGCAGGCTCCCACGGAGCAGAGAGCCCGATGCGGGACTCGATCCCAGGACCCTGGGATCATGACCTGAGCCGAAGGCAGACGCTTAACCATCTGAGCCACCCGGGCGCCCACCAATTCTTCTTTTTGCAGACTTAATTTCACCAACTTCCAAGTGACCTTTAATCCTGTACCCTTATCAAGTCAGTGGGCAATATAGTCCCGATTCCACAAACCTAGCTTGTAAAAATGGTACGTTCTTTGCTTGAGCCTCTGGGATCTGACCCTGGGGACCAGCACACGGGGTTAGAATCCTTCACTGATGCCCTCACTCTCACCCTCACCCAACACGAGGAAAAAGTACAGGTGTAAGCCCCATTGGGTCCTTATGCTGGTGTCGGCTTTAATATGTTGGGGGAAGACACAGGGGATGTGTGAGGAAAAAAAGATTCTGCCCTTTATAGAAAATGACTGGTTTGATTCTAAATTGTTTCTCCTATTCTCCTGGGAGGGGGGAATGGAATGTTTATGTACACAGAAATTGAATTCTTCAGAATTTTGAAGATCTGCTGGTTTCTATTTTATTCTTGCCACTTACTGAAGGGCCCCTGAACAGATTGTCAAAATAAACAATCAAAGTATGTAAGTCTTCTCACAACTAGGGAAATCAAGGCACACAGGTGTTGGGGCTTGGCCAAAGCCAAAGAAGGGAGAGGATGAGAGGTCATTCAAGTGCCAGTCTCCCCTTGGGAGGGCTCTCACTGAAAAAACAAAACAAAACCAAACCTGGAATCCCCTAAACTTTCCCTCATTCCTGCCTCAGAGCTAATCTGTGGGTTGATGTTGGTGTGCTCCTCCAGGGAGGCTCCTGCATCCCCAAAATGTGATCCAAACCCTGCTCCTGGCTTAATACAGAACTCCAGACTCTTCAGGTGCCCATTGCATCCTGTCTGCAGAGAAGCTGAGCTTTCCCAGTGCAGAGGCGAGCAGAAGCCCAGAATCCAAGAGACTCCCAAGGCTGCGGCTCCATCCCTACTCCCCTCTCCGACCCTTACTAAGCCCAGCGTGTTTCTGGGAGAAAAAGAGATGCCCATCTCTCATTACCAGACTCCAGGAGCTCTTACCTGAAATCCCCAAATGAGAGAAGCTCAGGAAAATATATATATATATTACTAATTAAAAGCTGCACCGGCCATCAGTAGCCATTCTGATCTCTCTAATAATCTGCTCTCTTCATACATCAGAAATCGCCTGAAACCTAGGGCAGGTGGTGAGTTGTGCTGTCTCACTGGGAACCCCCAAACATCTCCTCAGTGGGGAGAGCATCCGGGGAGGATGGAGTCAGGAGCCTCAAGCAGAGACTTTGGGCTATGGGTCAGCCAGCTCCAGCTGCCACATGAGGAGATGTCCTGGAGCAGAAACACTGTTCAGCACCCAGGGGATGCTTGCTCCTGGACTCTCCTTGCTGTGTGAACCCCTCTCCCCACTTCCGCACCAGCACAGCAGCCCCAGCTCTGACCTGTCCTCCCTCCATGGTCCTCGTCCCTGCCCCTGATCGAGGGGTGAGGTGAGGGGAAGCTGATGGGATTACCCACCCTGGGACCAAGCATGAGATGGGTGCATAAAAGATGCTCTAACGAATATTTGTTGGATGAATGAATGTAAAAAAATGACCCAGGATCAACGTTTCCGTTGAAAATAAAACAAAGCTAAACACAACAAAAATGCTGCCTGAAGGGAATGAATAAACGAGGTCACTGGGAAACCAAGTCAAAGTTCACCCTCGTTCCAGCCCGAACCTACTGGCGCCATAGAGGACAGGAAGAGCCATTTTATAAGGTGAGCGCCAATAGTGGAGTTGCCAAGGGCTAGCTAAGGAAGAGGAGAATGCAGAAAGGTGCCAGGAGAAAGGGTGCAAAGAGTCTGGGAACAAATTGGGGAGAAGAGGATGGGGTGGGTGGAAATGACCCGCGCGAGCCAGCAGGAACCTTGTGGACACCCCACCTGGACTGCGGCACAGGGAGAGATTTGGGGAAACAGATGGGGGGAGGGTGAGAACAAGGGAGGAGTCTGGAAGCCGCACTCGCGGAAAGTCAGGCAGATTTTTGGTTCTGGCTTCTTTATTGCCTTAAAACCACCTCATAAATTTCTACAAGGAACTAGTAGCTGTGGTGTGGAGGCGAAAGGGAATTAGCGTCTGGGGTGGGGTGTTAACTTTTCAGGATATACCTTTCAGCACCTATTGAATTTTAAAGTTATGCCAGTAATGCCTATGGGAAGACTTATTTTTAAAAATTTTCTCTGCAGCCGGTACCCCAATGCAGCCCACTCGACTCCAGCTGGGGCTGGTGGGGTCATCCAGTCCACACACTTTCCCTCCCCATTTTACAGACAAGGAAACTGAGGCTCACGGAAGGGAAGAGATCCCTCAGGATCACAAAAGAGCAGAAGCCTAACGAAAAATTCCCATCCGTGGAGAGATACCACGCTCAGGATATGCGGCACGGTGGGAGCAGAAGGTTACGGGTGTGGCAGGGCGGACAGGGACGGCGGGGGCCGAATGGGGGCCCGGGGGCAGCGGGCAGAGGGGCCGGCTTGGGCGGGAGGTGGGAGCCGCTCTGCCCCGGGGCTCTCCGCAGGCGCTGATGCCTGGATCGAATCTGGGGCCGCCTGCCCCTCTCTGGCTCCGGTTCGGCCCTGGTTTGGCCTTTCCTTTCTCCCGCAGAAGGAAAAAGCCCGGCCGGTGCCGCCTCCCCGGCGGCCACACATCATCCTCACCTGGTGTGGCTGGACGCCAGGGTTCCGGACGGATGTCCCCAAACAACGTTCGGTCTCCCCGGCCCTGGCGCAGCCTTGGACTTCTAACTTAGTCGGAGGGAATAAGGTTGGAGCGACCCGACCCCCAAACAGGATCTGGCAGGGAGTGGGTGAGCAAAAGAGGTAACAGAAAGCGCCGCAGGGGCCTTACCTGTGTCGCCGCTTCTTCCGTTTCTTGGTCTGGTTTAAAGCCGATTTGGACATTTTTCGGTCGCTGGAGGAAACATCTTCAGAATCTGAAAAGCGGGCGGAGGCACATGCGGCAGAATGGGGGGCGCGCTTGGCAGCGCCGGGGACGTCAGGCGCCCGAAGCCCGCGAGGGCCCCACCCGGGGCCGCCTCCGGGAGCGGCGGGGGCCTGCTCTGCCTGCCGGGGGAGCCCTCCGAGAGGTCGACCCCATCCCTTAGCCCCGGCTGGCTCTACCCACGCCGGCGCCCGAATCCGGAGATTTTGAACAGATTTCGTTGTAAGAGAGGCAAAGGCCCCAACGCGCTTGGGGCAGGGACGGCGGTGGAGCGAGGCAGCCTCAGGGGGTCGCAGGGCCGGCAGGAGGGGATCCCGGCGCTGCGCCCTGCCCCGCGCCTGCAGCCCCCGCGCCCCGGGCCCGAAAGTTGGCCCCGGGGAGCGGAGCCCGGGCGCAGGGAGCCGGGCGCGGGGAAGCGCTGGAGTCTCCCCGGGCACAGCCCCTTTTTCAGTGCCTGCAGAATGCGCCCCCGCTCGAGACTGGAGAGACTGCGACGCGCCACTTTTCGTTGCCCCTCCAAATACAAATAAATAAATAAATAAATAAATAAATAAATAAATAAATAAATACAAAGATAACGAAAAATCGGGGGAACTGCCGAGCTCGAGCCCAAGCCGGATGCCGAGAGGGTGGGGACGCAAGGCCGGGGAAGCAGTCCAGGGAGGGCTCGGTGGGGTCGTCCCGGGGCCCCCGAGCCCGCCGGGCGGGGCATCCGATAGATTGTGGCGTTTAGGTGGAATCGGATGGTGGCAGCTCCTGCCGCCGCAGAGGCCAAGGTGTCCAAGCTCGTGGGGTGAAAAATAAACCCCAGCTGACCAACGTGGGCGTTGTGGAACGGCGAAAAAGAGGAAGGAACAACAATTTTGGATTCCAGGGCTGGGGCCGAAGCGTGCACCCGCTTCCTGGGCTGCCAGCACACGGAACACAATCGGCTCCCGGAGCGCGGGTCCTCCGGGAGGCCGGGGCCGCAGTGGAGCAGCAGAGCTGGAGGGGGGGGTGCCCAGCCCGCCCCACGGGCCCCGACACCCCAAGCCGGGTTTACGGTGGGGCCCCCACCCGGCGCCGCGGCAGAGTGGGGCCCGACGCGGAGACCAGAGAACGGCGCGGAGGCCGGAAACGCCGGGGCCGAAAGCAGGAGGGCTCGCCGGCCCCAGGCCGGAGCTGCGACCCCTCGGCCTGGCGCAAACTTTTGCGCGGGGAGGAGGCCTTGCGGTGCAAGCGAAAGCCGACGGCGTGGGGCTTCCGGCTCTCATCCCCTAGTCGGGCAGCCCGGCAGCCTCGCCCTCACCTACCCGAGCTGGCCGTCTGGCTGGTGTCCAGCGGCCCCGACGCTCTGCCCAGCGGCTGCAAGTGGACGCTCTGCGGGTCGGACAGCACTTCCAGGAAGGTGGGCTGCGCGTAGAAGCCGGGGAGCCCCCCGGGCCCCAGCAGCCCCATGCCGCCCACTCCTGCAGGACTGAGCACGGAGCGCGCCGCCAGCAAGTGCCCGGGGGCCAGGCCGTCGAGGGTAGCCCGCGGATGGGAGCTGGGGGGCTCCTTGTTCAAACCCAGGATCTCCTGGATGCCGAACCCCGTGCACCTGGCCGGGGCGCCCCCCGAGGTACTCTTGGCCACTGTCTCGGATTTGGGCTTGCTCAGCGCTTCCCCCGCTTTCCCCGTCATCTCCCGGCTCTTTGGAGGGGCTGAGGCCGCAGGTCTTTTGCTCCCCCCACCCCCCCGCCGGGCTCCCCGCTTCGCGAAGTTGGTCCCAGGTGCCCCCTCCGGTGTCTAATGCTCTGGAGCCCCAAGGAGATTCCCTTTTTATCCAACCAGGCGGCAGCCCAAGTGGGGTCAGAGCTGAGCAGCCAATCACCGGGGCCAGGAGCATTAGGAATTCCAAAAAGCTGGCAGCTCCCGCCGCAGGCAGCACCGAGGGGCCAGGGCGCTGGGGGCCGGGCACCGGGTGGACTCAGCAGGACGCCCATGGGCAGGGACCCCAGGGGCTGAAATGAGACAACAAGGTTCAGGGCTGTTCCAGGAGGCTGGGTGGCTTGGGATTCTGGGCAGAGCCTGGCTGGGACATGTCCTGGGATGGGGTGGGAGGATGGGCTGAGGGCAGATGTTAGAGACTGGGAGTCCTCCTCCCTCCCTTAAGTCCAGTGCAGGTTGGCAGGGTCAAAGAAGTCCAAATATGGGATCCTCGTGTAAAAGGCAGAACAAGGCAGGGGGCAAGTGCCCTGGACAGGGAGTGTGGTGGCAAGGGGAGAAGAGAGGGCTCAGAGAGGGAGATGTATGGGTGGGAAGAACTCCACACTTGCCTTGCAACACAGGTCAGTAAATATTGGCCCAATGAATAAATGAATGATAAAGGGGTCAGCAGTAGGGGTGCCTGACGGGAGAGAACAGTGGTGATTTCTTCTGGAGAAAAACTGTGGGCATCTGAAGATCTTCCTAGAGTAAGCATGAGTGTGCTCAACTTCCGTGGAAGGACTTCATGCATTCTCCCATCCATTCATGGAGCACCTTACCAGCTCTGAGCTAGGGGCTAGGGGCCCCGCTGTAAATCAGATAGAGGAAGCAAGGGGTCTGCTATACCTCCGAGTTCACTGAGCAGACAGAGCGAAGAGGATGGGATTGTTGATGTGGAGGACCAGGCTGGAGAGAAGGCGTTAGAGGCAATTAAAAGGTGAACTTCTGTCCCCAGTTGAGCAGGGTCTCTTGACTAAATCCTGTGTTGGAAGTTGCAGAATTGCAGCCCAACTGGGCCAGTTGAAAAGCGATGAGAGGCAGGACCCTGCCTGGAGAAAAAGCTGAATTCCCAAAGTGGGCAATGAAGCCACTGGTTTCCTGCTTGAGGGCTCTGCGGAGAGCAGGACCCCATAGGGCCCAAATGTCAAGGGAAGGTGATTCTACAGACACCCCCCCACACACACACCCACACACACACACCCCTGCCATGCCGTGGACCTTGGAGTCCCAGCATTCCACCAGCTCAGCTAAGTCTTCTGTGACATTCTTGGGGCTAGGGACTGTCTTGTTTACCTTGACATTCCCCTCTCTACTGTGCCTAATATATACCAGGTCTTAAATCAATTCTCTTGCTTTCTTTCTTGCATGCTTGCTTGCTTTCTTAAGAGGAGTAGCTTTTATTTCCTTGTTTCACAAATAAAGTTGGTTGAATTGATTGCTTTAAATATTTCTTGAATCAAAGTCACCCTAGGAGGCAGGATAAGGACAGGGTCAATTGCTTTAGGCCAAGACTGGAAAACCAGGCTGGGGGAGAGATTCCATTGAGGATTTCTTGGCTAGTCAGCAGCAAACCCCCAAATAAATTGAAACCTCTTCACCTAGCCTGCCGCCAAGGTGTCTAGTAGCCTTTGTGGTTGCCATGAGGCCAAACTGAGAGGTGCAAGGAGACCCTGTAGGGGATGGAAACAGAGGCCTTGCTATCAGGGCTGTTATGAGGTAGGTCTCCACTCACTCTGGCCGGGTCCACACAAGAGCTGGAACTGGACTGGGGACTTTCTCAGTGCAGGAGGTGTCTGGGGGGGTGTGTACTGTTCATTCCAAGGGCTGCCTCCTTGTCCCATTCTAATGCCATTCCTACTGTGCACTTAGGTTGCTCAGCCCCTTATGTGGCATAATCTCTGTCCTCACAAGAACCCTGTTGGTATCTTGGTTCCACATCTGAAAGTTGACATAACTATTGTTTTTTCTTTTCCTTTTTTCTTTCTTTCCTTCCTTTTTTTTTTGAGTAGAGCTGACATACATGGCATTAGCCATTCTTATTTGCAAGGTGCAGACTCAAGGATATGCAACCCTGAGGCATCCTTCACCTTGTATTCTATGGCATTGGGTTCCATGTGGCACCACTCACATAGACAATGTGAGGGCCTCCCCCTAGAGTTGTGCAAAGCAATGGCTTTGCCTTTCAGGTAAGAATTTCTTTTTTTTTTTAAAGATTTTATTTATTTATTTATTTAATTTATTATTAGAGAGAAAGAGCAGAGTGAAAGAAAAAGCATGAGTGGGGGGCAGAGGTGGAAGGGCAGAGGGAGCAAGAGAAGCAGACTCCCAGCTGAGCAGGGAGCCCGATGCGGGACTCAATCCCAGGACCCCAGGATCACGACCTGAGCCGAAGGCAGACGCTCAACCAACTGAACCACCCATGCGCCCTTCAGGTAAGAATTTCTGTCCTCATTTTATGAATGTGGAAACTTAAGTGCCCAGAGAGGTTAGGTAGCCTGTCCCAGGTGACCTAGCTAGTAAGCGGCAGAGGCCAGACTCAACCTCAAGTGAGTCTGGTGTCAAAAGCTGTTCTATTTTGGGGCGCCTGGGTGGCTCAGTTGGTTAAGCGACTGCCTTCGGCTCAGGTCATGATCCCAGAGTCCTGGGATCGAGTCCCACATCGGGCTCCCTGCTCAGCGGGGAGCCTGCTTCTCCCTCTGACCCTCCCCCCTCTCATGTACTCTCTCTCTCTCATTCTCGCTCTCTCAAATAAATAAATAAATCTTTAAAAAAAAAAAAAGCTGTTCTATTTTGACTTCATCCCTCTCTTGGCCTCCTCTCCATGCCAGCCTACCCTGGAAGGATGAATGGGGATGTTGTGTTAATGGCATCTGTCATGTTGCTTACTTATCACGGGACATCCACGATGAGCCAGATGCCAGCCAATGGACAAGGATGTGAGTGATGGAAAACAGCATGAGTGATGGAAGCTCAGCTCTTGCCTGGAGATGAGGATGAAAAATCTCTTGACCGAACCCTGTATCTGAGGCTGCTGGTTCCCTACCCCAGGGAGATAGTTACCACCTTGACCGAGGAGGTTGGGGATGGGGGCAAGCCCAGGCTCTCTGAGAGACACCTTTCCAGAGACTGCAGGTAGAGGGAGGGCCCAACATCAGCCTGAAGCCAGCCCCACCCTCAGACCTGAACTTCTGACAGACTTCTGGTGGGGGTGGGGGCTGTCTAAGAATCTAAGGGTTGGAGGTGGGGGGAGTGAAATGTACCCTTTGGGAGACATTTAGCTAGGACACACTGGGTCCAAATCCTGGGTCTGCCACCTAACAGCTCTGTGGCTTTGAGCCAACCATTAAATTCTCTCTTAGCTTTGATTGCTTTACCTATAAAACAGCCTGGTACTAGATTTGGGAGCACCCCCTGACCCCCTGAGTTAGCACTGCTGTCAAGGACATGGACTCTAGAGCCAGACTGCCCAGGTTCAGACTCCTGCTCTGTCACCTACTTAGTGACCTTGGGAAAGTTACCCAACTTCTCTCTGCCTTCTGTGCCTCAGTTCCCTCATCCGTAAAATAGGGGTAATTTAAAATAGGGGTAATAGTAGGTAGTACCTACTCCTTAGAATTGTCAGGAAGGTTAGAAATGTGCATAAAGCTCTACTGTGAGTGTACAAAATGAGGTTCTTTTGTTCATAATTTTCAAATATTGACATATTTTATTACATGATTATTTTAGGGACAAAATAAGGTTCTTGTGAGTGTTGGTTACTATTATCATCATGCAGGAGGATATTGTTCTTGGGACTGGCAATCTGGTAGGGGCAGGACAGATCTAGTCCCAGCTTTCGTGGAGTTTGGGCCAGTGACTGAAGGAGGTGATATTTTTATTTTTTTTAAATTTTATTTATTTATTCATGAGAGACAGACAGAGAGAGAGAGAGAGAGAGAGAGAGGCAGAGGGAGAAGCAGGCTCCCAAGGAGCAGGGAGCCCGATGTGGGACTCGATCCCAGGACCCTGGGATCATGACCTGAGCCGAAGGCAGACGCTTAACCATCTGAGCCACCCAGGCACCCTGGAGGTGATATTTTTTTTTTTAAAGATTTTATTTATTTATTTGAGAGAGAGAGAGAATGAGAGATAGAAAGCACGAGAGAGAAGAGGGTCAGAGGGAGAAGCAGACTCCCTGCTGAGCAGGGAGCCCGATGCGGGACTCGATCCCGGGACTCCAGGATCATGACCTGAGCCGAAGGCAGTCGCTTAACCATCTGAGCCACCCAGGCGCCCCTGGAGGTGATATTTTTAAAGCAGTGAGTGTGTACCTGACCCTGGGCACTCAATACATCATGGCTCATACTATTATTATGAATGGGGGCCAGACCCCTCACCACACTGAATCCACTCAACTTCTCTGACAGAATACCTATTCTGTCCTTCTCGTGACAAATAAGACACTGAGGGTCAAGGAGGGAGACGCGGGCGAGGGAGGAGGCCACCCCCTCCTTTGCCCTGGTGCTGGTCATTTTTAGCACCAGCTGCAGACAAGTCATTCTCCCCGCTAGCCTCCTCCCCGAGTTACTACCCAGCCGTCAGCAACGATTTTTGGAGGGAGCGGGGGGTGCGGGGGATGCAAGGGAGAGAAAGATGTGTGTTTGAATCAATAATCCCATTATGAATCTGTCACCCATGAACGTGTTTCACTTTTTTAAATGCTCTTGTGTATTTGGGGCTTCCCCCTTGAGAGTAAGTCTTCTCCTTTGTTGTGCTGGCCAGTTCTCCGGAGGGTCTCCTCAGAGAGCCCCGGAGGCCCTCCTCTATCACCCTCCTGTCGTCAGACGTTGGGCCAGGCATTCCACTTTCTTGGTTTAGTCAAGGGGCTGCTGCCAGGAGAAAAACAAGAGAGATTCTGATTCCCCTTTAACTTACATACGATGAACATGTACTAC